ATTTTATTTATTTATTCAGAGAGAGAGAGAGAGAGAAAGCACAAGCAGTGGGAGTGGGAGAGGGAGAAGCAGACTCCCCACTGAGCAGGGAGCCCGACGTGGGGCCCAATCCCAGGACCCTGGGATCATGACCTGAGCCAAAGGCAGACACTTAACCGAATGAGCCACCCAGGCGCCCCTCAAATATATCTATAAATGAACTCAGAGTCCAAAAACTGCAGAATCCCCAAGTACCCTGCAGAGCATGAACTTGCCGTAGATGCACTTGAAAACCATCGACCAAAGGGTCAGTAGAGAGACATCGGGTACTCCAAGTTTGTTTCCTAACATTAGGCCCCGGAGGCAAGAAAGAGACCAGGCTCGGGGAAGGTGAGTGGGGCCGGGACAGCCGGGACTGGAGAATGGCTCAGTAAGTGTGGAAGGCCACTGTGGCGACCCGGACTCCCTGCCTCCTGGGTGTGTGGCCTCTCGGCTGTCTCAGAGGGAGCCTGCGATTCTGAATCCCATGCAGGCCCTGCAGCGTGTCGGGCCAGCGTGGCCGGCGGGTGATGCAGGAGGGCTCACCTGTGACAATCGTGCCAGATCCACGCATGGCGGCCATTCTTGGGTCGGAAGTCAGACTGCCCGTTGTTGTGGATCTGGGAGGAGAAGCGCAGAAGGCGTCGGTAGCCTGTGGTGGGGTTGGTCTGGGCGGCCGAGGCTGAGAGGCAGTTCTCCTCCATGGCACACTGGAGCATGAACATGGGACGGTCCTCCAGGTAGGTGCTCTGCTGGACGATCTCCGCATTGAGGACCAGGTCAGGGGCAGCTGGGGAGGGCAGACACGATGTTCAAACAAGACGAGAGGCCCCCTCACCCCTCCCAAGTCTTTTGCTTCTGACACCTGAGCTGGGACAAACCCCCAATCCTGCCTAGCACCACCAGCTGAGACTGTCTCCTGGTCTCTCAAGGTTCCCTTCCTTAAGGAATGCTACCCCAAATTCCTCTTCCTCTCCTCTAAGCGTCCTCTTGGACACCTCTACAGCTGTCAGGGCAAAATGATGGGCAAAACACGAAGGTTCATTATATTGTGACCTCTACTCTTGGGTGGCTGGAGATTTTCTGCAATAAAAAACAAACAATAGCAATAATATTGTGCCTCCTGGAGAGAAAGCACCAGGAATGCCTTGGTCTGATCCTTCTGGGAAGGATACACATACAGTTAACGACACGTGTGATACTGTATGTAGATTTACAGTTTGCTAATACCGTTTCCCTTAAAATATATCTTGACATATTTCCTTGCTAAGAAATATCCATTACCACATGTATTTCATGGCTACATAACATTGAATTCATAACCCTATCTCATATTTTTAGATACACTGGTTGCTTGCCATTTCTCACCGTTAAAGATTAAAGCTGTGATAAACATCCTGTAGTAAATCTGTGTATGAAACTTAAGTTATTTCTTTAGAATACGTTTCTAGAAGTAAAATTGCTGGGCAGAAGGGCTGCATGTTCTCAAGACACACTTGTACCCCCTGGGGCCGGCAGCCTCTAGAGAGCAAATCCACCTGCAGGGTTTGGATGTGGAACTGAAGAGTCTGAAGGGGACACACAGATGAGATGTGGGGTAGGGAGTAGAAGACACCAATTAGAGGGCTCTCAATTGTTGAGAAATACTTCGTCTTGGAGGACACACACCAGAATGCAGCATCGCCGGTGCTCAGTGTCCTGGGCACACTTTTATTGGAGGGTGTGATGGGTCTCTTATTCATTGTCTATACCCTAGTCGGTACTTAATGGACAGTCCCTCTGCTTATGTCTGAGCTGAGCGAATGGGTCTCCATTGCTCTCTCTTCTGAGAGGAGACCAGCCTAGCTCCAGCTCTGGAGTCTGAACATAACAATGGTCTGCAGTGAGCTGGTAGCCTGGGAGCTGTGTTCTCAGCACCTGCCATGCAACGGGGCCTTGACCTCCCTAACATCCAAAATATCCACCAGAAGCTCATTGGAAGCATGCATTCATCCACCTGTCTGCCAAGTATTCTAGTAAACCCTGCCCTAGGCTCTCTGGACAGTGCTGAACAAGGTAGACCCTACATTGTCGCAGGAGAGACAGACAGAAGCCCATATTAATTACTTAATTACAGTTGTGATCAGAGCTAGAAGGGGAAATATGGAGGGAGTTGGAAATTATAACCAAGGGACCCAGTTGGGCAGGGGGGAGGAGGTCAGGAAGGATTTCCCCGGAGGCACTTAGGTTTTAGTTTCTCCCTGGAAGGAGGAGCAGGGATTACAGGAAGTAGCTCTACAAGGCTAAGTAGCATGGCCAGTCCCCTCAGGCATGAAGGAGCACCAAAGCCTGTGTGGCTGGGCCAGCGAGGAGGGGTGGGAGGTGGATGGTGGCCCCAAATGAGGCTGGACAACACGTGCCTTGTGCACGTCCCTGCATTCACCTAAAGTGCTGCGGGAAAGCCTGGACGGGTTTGCTAACAGGATGGAGGTGTGAGTGGGAGACCAGCATTGATTCTGGCTTCGGGGAGGGGGAGCAATCGAAGGGACACGTGTCACTGTGGGGATCCCGTGGAGGAGTGTCTGCACAAATACAGTCTGGAAGAATGGCATCTGGACACGGGCCGAGGAAGCCGGAGGGAAGGAGGTAGAGGGAGTCGAGAAAACACGGAAAGGTAACAATAAAGATGGATTGTGTATGGTGGGGTGGGGGGTGGGTCAGGAGGGAGAGAGAGAGAGAAAGGAAGACTTGCAGATACAGGGTGGAACTGGTTGGATGAGAAAAAGTAATTACGAAGGGTGGCCTGAAGAATATACTTCATCTCTGAATACTCTTAACATGCATTAAGCCAGATCCGCCAAGAGCTGTGTTCCTGGCCCAAATGGCCACTGCCCCCGCTCCCATAGTCACCCTGAGTGATGCCTTTAGACTAATTTGAGGGGTTCTCAGAGCCCCATGAAACTCACTTCTCACTTGCCATGAGGTGTCAAGGGCCCTGTTTATCTCATAACTGTCTGTCTTCATGAGAAATTCCCTTTCCATCTCGGAATCTAGAACAGTGGGCTTCTCTAATCTCATGGGTGTGTTTCTACCTCATGGACATTGCGAATGACTTCCTTCTTTCCTTTGGCTGTTAGGAAGCTCGTGGTGAATTTTATGACCTCCCAACAGTAAATGTTTAGGACTCTATAGTATGTATTTTTTATTAACCTCTCTCTCATTTCCATTTTGAGCCACTACTTTTTGCCAGCCCTACTTTTCATGTCTGCTTTTCTCTTATGCTACCTTGAATTTTATTTAGGCTTATATTATGTTACTTTCCTCTTGGAAATGATGGTATATTACAAATATAAATTAAGAAGCAAAGAAAAGGCCCCGGACTGCTTCTCTCTGCTTGGATGTTCCTCCTGCGGAGGCCAGTAAGGGTGATGATCTCCTCCTCAGACAGGATGAATAGCTAGTGCTGTCCGCCCAGATGAGCTCACGCCAGGGTGGCCAGTCCCTCCTTACAAGGCTTAGAAAACACTGGGTGAGTCTAAAGGGGTCAGTGGGCGCATGAAGCTCACCAGCTCAGGTCTGACCTCCCCTAGCTCTCCATGACCATAAAAGGTGGTGCATCATTGTCTTCTCTGCACTTGTGCATATTCACTGTCACACTTAATTTCCATTGTCCAGGAAAAACAGTAACTAGAGATCAGAGTGGTTAACTAACTCTGCCAAGATCAGCTAATAAATGGCAGGTGGGGTCTGTTCTCAAGTTCTCTGGCCAGATCCGGGGCCTCTTACACCTCCCAGATTCACGAGGGAAAAGGCTAAGTGTCGGCTCAGCTCATGGCAGAGGCCCCAGAGCCTGGCCAGGAATAACCAGTGGGACTCTTGGTCCCCTCTTGGAGGCTGGCGGGGAGGAGGGATGTGACCCCCAGGGACTCTCACTTTCTGAGCAGGCGACTCCGGCCCCATACTGCACTGCACCCTGGGGGCAGGCCACGTCCTCATCGTGGCGGCAGTGAGCCAGGGACAGCTCCGTTCCCGAGCACTTCACCCCGCTCATGACCACTTTGTTGGCGTAGACATTTCCTTGCCAATACCAGGTCTCCTGGAGGAATCAAAAGAAATGGGAAGCGTGTCACCCTGAATTGTCACTTTCTCGTATTCTGTCAACTTTCAGCCTCAGGAACATCCCAAGGCTAAAGCTATATGAGCCCATTTTTTCTGCTGGAGACAGCAGAGGCACACCCAGCCATGTCCCCAGAGTCATGCAGTTTGTTGGTGACAGAGTGGGGGAGACCCTCACGCTCCAGTTCTGCCACTGGTCCCCGCGGGGAAAGCGTAGCTAAGGTTTTGGTCAAATGGGTGTCCAGTGTTGTGTGTCAGGAACGGCAGGCACCTGTAACTCATGCTGCTCGCTCCCCAGCCCTGAGCCCAGGGCAGACATGACTGGTCCATCACAACCCTCTCTCCTCTAAACCTGCACGTGCTCTCAGAATCCTCGGCACAGTGCTCCCGGGAGACACGACCAATCGATCAGAATTGGCAGGAGAGAAGAAATCTATTTACACGTGATAGCTCAACATGCATACATCCTATTGGTTCTGCTTACCTAGAGAACCCCCTCATCCTCTAGAGAGAGAACTGGGGCCTTGAGAAGGGACAGGGTGTATAATCGATGGCAGATCCAGGCCCACATCATGACCCTGCTGAGGCCCAAGTGTCGTAAGAATGAGCTGACCGGGAATGAAAATAGCTGGACGAGCCCTCTGCTAAATGGCACTGTTTTTTCCTCTCTCTTTGGAGCCCCAGAGGGTGCCTTGGCTTGTCAAAGCAGCATTAGCAGAGACCCTATGAGAAGCCAGGGCCCTGGCAGGTGTGGGCGGGGCTCTCGGAGGCCCGTCCCTTCTGAATGCCGGAATGAGGAGCCACAGGGTGGCCTCTGCTCAGGACTCAGCTCCTACCCTGGACCCAGCCAGCCTGTGGCAGCAGTCAGGCTCAGCAAGGCTTCAGAGCTGACCCAAGTCCCCCCGCTAAGAAATCCTGTTCCGGGGGACAGGCCCCCCTCCTTGCTAACCAGTCAGGGTTAGCAAAGCAAGATGGGGGCTCCAGCCATTTCCTCTTCTCCAAACACTGAGAAAGTGTTTGGAGCCAGGACACTGAGGACCTGGGACTATTCATTCCATGCCACAGGGAGGAGAAGGGACGCATGGGAGGGTGGCTGTTTTGCCCCAGATCGTTATACAGCGGGCTAGTGGAGGTATAGATGGGAATAGACCTCAAGCCCCTCATCTCTGCCTCCTTCTCCCCCCTGCCTCCTTCTGACAATGTGTCCTCACAATACAGGCTCCAGAAGTCAATGATTTTTGAAGCCAAAGCGCTTCTTGCCTCTCGTCTGCTGCCTTCTGCAAGGGGCAGGGGCTTACTGCCTTCAGTGGAGTCCCTCTCTTTCAGGAAGGGGCCAGCGGGAGGAGGGCACAGATGATGGGACAAGGCTTAGAGGTTTACCAGCCAATCGAGGGGAGAAGGCATGAGTACAGACACCAGTTGGGAAACGGTCTGTCCGGAGGGGCCTCGAAGGGAGTGAGCCAAGGCATCTGGGGTGCTGGGCCTTGGGCTGGGTGGTCTCCATTGTCCTGTAGGACCGAGTTGCTTCCCTCTGCGTAGGCACAGCAGCACACCCCAGAATCAGCCCTCAGCCCAGGGTGAATCCCAGTGCTCCAAGCGGAGTGGACCCTGGACACCAGAGTCCAGCCCCTTATTCTGTAGCGGGGCCAGAGGGGAACGTATCTCACCCTAGGACTCAGGGCTGTGAGGGGCAGAGCGGAGGCCAGGATGACGTTCCTGCCCCCCTCCCCCTAGTCCAGGGCACTTTGCTGTCCACCTCCTGGGTAGCTGGGGAAGGTGCATGGAAAGCAGGGGCTGACTGAGAGGGGCAGGGCCACACTGGGTGGAAGGGGCTGAGGCGGGCGCTTCTCACCTGGAAGGCGCTGCTGGCAAACCCCAGGCCCAGCTGCCGGCAGACTACCATGGCCTCCACAATGCCCCAGTTCTCGCCACACACTGTCCCCCATACGAGGGACCCGTTCCTCTCCACCAGCACCTCCACCCGGCCCTCGTAGGGGTTCCGGCCCCCATTCAGGCGCAGCTGTGGAAAGAAAGGCATAGTCACCACGTGCGAACAGAGGGGGGCTGCCCCACCATCAGGCGCCATCAATCTCAGCTTCCCCCAAGCCAGGGGGTCCTGCCTGGGACACAGATTCAACAGCATCACTGAGAGCCTGCTGTGCGCCTGCATCCTGCCCAGGATGGGCTTACGTATTAGGTCCCCACCTGCAGGCAGCCCGAGGCCTTAGAAGCCTGTGCACTGACCCCCGCTGAGCGGCACCTGCCCCTACTCCCTGCCGCCCTCCGTGAGACTGCTGGGGAGGGCTGCCCTCCATGAGACTACTGGGGATGGCTGCCCTTAGAATCAGGCACCTGGCAGGATGCGTCAAGGGGCCTTAAATGTTAGAATACACCCTCTGCTCGGCTGGTTCCAGCTCCCAATCTCATCTGCCCCCGCCCCCACTGTCCTCTCCACCAGAACTCCCTTCTGAGACCCTGGAACCAACTGCCCATTTGACAGTTCCACTTGGCACCAGGGAGACCCCAAATCTGAACGTGGCATCTTCTCAGTCTCCACCTAAACTTGTGCCCTATCTCCCCCTTGTTCCCTATTGCAGCGAAAGGCACCACCGTCTACTCCAGGGGCAGCACACTTTCTGTAAAGGGCCAGGGGGTATTTTAGGCTTTGTGGGCCGAGCGCTCCGTGTCGTACACACTCAGCTCTGCCGCATAGCTAAGAGCAGCCACAGCTGATGTGTACACGGCCGAGCATGGCTGTGTTCCAGTAAAACTATAATGACAAAAACAGGCAGAGGGATAGGTTTGGCCTGCAAGCTGTCCTTTGCCGATCCCCAGGCTACTCTGTTATACAAGCCAGAAATCCCGGAGCCATCCTCGACACTGTCCTCTCTCTCTCCCCCCGCATCCGGTCAAAACCCTCCTCCGTGGATTTTATCTCCAGAGTCTCTTTCCAGTCCATTGCTTCCCTCCAGCTCCATGCAGACCCTCTTGTCCCAGCGCCATCGCCTCCGGCCTGAGCCACACCTCCTCTCCCCTCCCTGCCTCCGCTCTGGACTTCATCAACCTATTGTCTGGTCAGAAGCCAGAGTCAGCTTTGAAAAACTCCAGCTCGCGTTGCTTCCCTGCTTGGCACATGGCAGCGGCTTCCCCTTGCTCCAATACTCACGCTTGCACCCTGTTCTCCCACCTCCAGGCACGCGGGCCTCAGTTTCCTCAGCTACCTAACTCTCTGGACCGAGTCACGCAGTAAGTCACACCTGTAAGCGCACTACATACAGGTGCCCTTCTGCCTGGCTGATCCTTGTTCACCCTTCCGATTCCGTACCCTGCAACACTTCCCTCTCACTGGGGTCAGTGGGGTCAGTCATGTACACACTCTGTCGCTTCCTACACATCTCCTTCTTAGCATTTACAACAGTTATAATTAAGCTAACTCACAATTCGTTTAACATCTGTCTCCTCCGCTCGAATATAAGCTCCCAAGGGCAGAGCTGTATTTGTGTGGTTTCCTGTGTGATTGATAATTAAGACAGTACCTCACAAACATTAGGTTCGCCAACATTACTTTTGGAATGAATGAATCATCAGTCTTATGAACTGAAAGCATGGACCAACTTAGGTGAGCTCAAGCAGACAGATCTGGAGATTGGGGAAGGGCTCTAAAAATGCTACCCCTAATCCAAGCACCTTTCCCAGCTTCCTTTATATGCCTAGGAATTCATCCTTTGGGACAAGGCATGGTGACTCTAGGAACCCTGAGCACGTTGGGCTGTTGGCTTGCCAATCCTTAGCAACAGCATACTCCTGGGGCACAGGTCTTGATTCTTATTATGGACTTAGGGGCTGCAAAGGTCAATGAGGTCAGCCGGCAAACAGACAAGCCAAGGGCAGACACGATGCCGGGTCTACCTCCCAGGCTTGTGGAGAGGAAGAATTAAATGAGGTAATTCATGGAAAGTGCTCACAGTAAGTGCTCGAGAAATATTAGTCAGCATCCTAGTGATGATTTTTATTAGGGTGAGAGTCCCATCAGAAATCAAAACTCTCTTCAGAAGAAATAGGAGGGGTCAGAGCAGGCGAGAAGAGGGCTGTCCTTCGGGAGGCCGTTTGTCTTCCTGAGTGTTTCCTGGCTGAGAGCCCAGGGTGAAGGTGGGCACTGGACAAGGTCTTAGATATGGATCGTACTTTACCCACAACTAACATATGTTTGGGTCTATGTGAAAACATAGACCAATAAGATGAGCGGAGCCAGTGAGAAAATCCCAGAACGGCAGAAGGCAGGCTACCCAGCTTCAACATGCCAAGCAAGGGCCAGCACCTTGGGTGGGGCGTGTGCTTAAACCCATCAGGGGCATCTCTAGGGAACCACAGGCCATCCCCTCCACCCCCCGCCCCCCCCGCCCCGGTGTGGTTTCCAGCTGCCCCCACCAAGCCTGTGCACCTGGGGAGGTGGAGGCCATAGGTGTGGACCCTTCCAGTGGGCCAGGGGAGCGCTGAAGCTCTGAATGCCAGTGGGCAGTGAAGCTAAGAGCAGAATGACTTTAAACGGGTTTGCTACCATTTTTGAATTCCTTGTGGACTGTGCCTTGCCTTATTTTTATTTTATTTTATTTGTGCCCTGCCTTATTGACTGCAGCAGGGGCGGATGGTTCCTCCTGAGGCCCCCTTTGTGGGCACCACCTCCTGAAAACTGACTTCATTTTGTCATCACGAGGCCAGTGAACTATGAAGATGTGGGAGCCGGAAGAACCCCGTTCTCACTCTGTCCTGCTACCGGAGAGCAGGGGGGCTCCCAAGTTTAAGTCTTGGTGTGGAGGGCTCCCTTTAGGAGGTTCCAGAGGACTCTCTCCCTTGTCCATCTCTGCCTGTGCAGCCCGCCCAGAGCTGGCTGGCCACGTGGCAGCATCCTGTCCCGCAACCTAAAGCCCCGGGAAGCCTCGGAGGCTCTGGCTGAGGATCGTGGCTGCACGTTGGCTCTGGGTAAGGGAACCGCGCGGTCACCAGTGGTGAGCTGGCACCTCTCTTGAAGCCCTTCCCGAGGCTCCGAGCTGCCGCTGTGGTTCTCCAAGGCTGACTAGGCCTGGACGGTGAGCTGGCGCCTCTCTTGAAGCCCTTCCCGAGGCTCCGAGCTGCCGCTGTGGTTCTCCAAGGCTGACTAGGCCTGGAGCAGCCTCTGTGACAGGGACCAGGGTGCCACTGCTCTGGAAGGAGTCTAGGCGCTTCAAGATGCATTGGGGGCCTTTTCTCGTTTTCTAGAGAGGGCTAGAGGGAGCAAGAGGCCAGCCATGAAGCTCTCACATGGCGCGGGACTTAGCCCTCCATGCCCCGGCCCCACTCCGAGGCGCCAGCATTCTGGAAACAGCCTGGCGCGCTAGCTTACAGGTGCTCTGCAATCACCAGCACTGGAAGAACCCCAAAAGGCCTCGGGTCAGCCAGCAGCCTCTGGCCCTCACCTCTCGCATCGTGGTTTGATAAGGTTGTGGTTAACCAGGCCCACACCTGTTTTGGGAGGTGAGCGGGGAGGAGGCGAGGGAACACGACCCAGATGTCAGCCTGAAAGGAAGCACGGGCACCTTCCAACTCACATTCCACACACGGGCTTGGTCCCGCTAACCAGGCCGGGCCAGGGGAGGCCCGCGGCTCAGAGGTGGACCGGAGGCCAGCACGGGTGGTCGCCCGGAAACCCCACCGGCCATTCCCAGAGCCTCCCGGGCTCGGCTCCTCCCCGCCAGCAGCGGGCAGAGTGAGGCTTTGCCACCCGCTTCCAAGTCCGGGGTCTTTACTAGCCATTCAAGAGAAAAGTCAATTTCCTAATGAAGGGGGGTGGCAGAGAAGCCAGGGAAATCATCGCTCTCACTTCCTTATTTTCAGAGGAGTAAACTCAAGCCTCAAAGAAATTAAATAGGGAATCGCCCAGTGAGTGATGGTGAACTGACTTGTGTCCCCATGAAATTCCTGTGCTGAAGCCCTAAGCCCTAATATGGCTGTATCTGGAGAAAGGGTGTTTCAAGACGTAATTCAGGTTAAATGACGTCCTAAGGCTGGGCCCTGTGCAATATGACGGGTGTCCTCACAAGACGAGGAAGAGACACCGGGGATGCATATGCAAAGGCTGCGTGAGGACATGCGAGAAGGCGACCATCCGCAAGCCGAGAGAGGCCTCGGGAGAAACCAGCCCTGCCGGCACTCTGATCTTGGATTTCTAGCCCCTCGAACTGTGAAGACAAACATTTTTACTGTGGAAGTCTCCCAGGCTGTGGTGTTTTGCTATGGCGGCCCTGGCAAACGAACACAGTGATAACAGCTGGGAGTCTGGACGGTTCTGCCTGGCGCGGTTGCCCATGCCCGTGGGAGCCCCGAGCCACGCCACGGGACAGGCTGGCCCGCTGCGGTGGCAAGACAACCCGTACGGCCCGTGGGACTTTCCTTCACAGGTGACCTTGCCCATTTCTTCCCGGGGGATGGCAGGCAGGTGTAAAACTCCCCCATGCCTCCTGCGTGAGCTCAGGGAGCACCTGCCGGAGCCTGGAGGGCCCGAGCAAGGGTGAGGCCCTTGGTGCTGGGGGTGTGGGGCTGCCACCAGCCTCACCGAGCACACAGCCTGGCTCAGCCATCCCAACCACAAAACGCATCTGGAAAACATCGCTTTCTTTGGCCTACGTCTTTCACTTGGGTTGAAAACCTCACTCCACCCTCCTCCAATCAGCCTGAAGTGAAGGCTGCCACAGCATGCCAGGACCCGTGGCTCGTCACCTTCCATAGCTCTGTACAGCGATCTTGCAATGCTGCCGGGCAATTAGAGATGGCAAGCCTCCCCCGCAGCTGGGGGCTTGCGGCCCGTGCTCCTACTCACCTACGGGCAAATGCGCAGCTTGGCTGAGGGCTGTTGGGGTCCCATTTTGGGCCCCATCGGGCAGTGAATTGCACAACACACGTTGTGGCTGACCGGTTGGGCATGCCGGCGCCAAGGTCAAGAATCACTGTCGAAGCAAGAACCCGACTGGGGAGCCATCCTGCACCCTGATGTGTCTGCAGCTGCTCATTTTTAAAATAAGCACTTAAAAAGCTCTTCCAACGTGCCAGCCGGGTAGCAGATGATGCATGGGACCCAACCAAATACATGGGATAGTGAAGAGCAATCTGAATAGGGGCAACCTCTTCGGGTCCCCTCCCTCCCTGGGAGCTTTGTACTATCACTTTGCTATCACTCAATAAACCTTGCAAAAAAAAAAAAAAAAGAGCAATGAATAGGATGTACTGGGCCTTTCTGTAGGATTGGATAGACCGAGAGGAATTCATCTTGGCTCCTCTTGTGGGAAAGATCACCCAAGCCAGGAGACAGGATGTAGGTTTCTAGAGACTCCATCTCAGGAGAGGAAGGGTGTGTCTCTGGTATAATGCTGTTAAGGTTCCCCTTTCTTTCCCTCTGGTTACCAAAACACAGTCTTCTGTCCCAAAATATTGTCTATACTGTGCTTACCCTTGTGTAGCTTGTAGACCTGCTGTCGATGTAGTTCCCCTGGGTCCTTGGACAGGGACCATGCCGAGGGTGTCACAGGCACTACGGACCTTGAGTCCCTTACAGAAAGGACTGCGTTGCGATCATGCCACATGTCCAGTCCCCGCGCAGGGTGTGGCACGCAGTGGATGCCCACCATCTGCCACTAAGGACAGCGTGGCTATCCATGCATTTTCTCACTTGGCACGCTTAATGAATGTGAGGCGACAATGTCGTTAACAATGACAGCAGCGGAGCCTGAGCCCTTTCTGAGTTCATCATCAGAGCCCTCAAACACCAGCTGTTAGAACCCTTGAGTGTGAGGCCACCTGGCCCATACTTTCTGGGACTCAGTGACCAAAAGAGAACACAGCCCCTCACCTTCTTCTGGAAGCCCATGGCAGGGATGTTACATCTCACGCCAGCATCTTCCTCGTGGTTGCAGCCCAGAGACTCGGCATTGAATTTGCAGTCTATAATGGACTTCTCATTCCCGGTGCACTCGATTTCATTGAGGTGGATGGGTCCTATCCCTGGGGGAGGAAAACAAACAGGTACTACTGACAGCTTCTGAAGGTAAGTTTCTGGAGTGGGCAATAAAGTCCTAGACGGTAAGAACGTGTTTCTCCCACCCTCAGAACTCTTCCAACTGCATCCCATAACCAGCTCAAGGTTCCAGGCCTCCTCTTCTGGAGAGGAGAGAATTGCTTTTTGTCTTGGGATTCACTTCTCCCCTAAAAGCAAATCAAATGTGCTGCAAACTTCCTGTGTGGCTTTGGCCGACCCACTCAGCCTCTCTGAATATTGGTTTTCTTCCCTGAATAAAGGAGATGGACGAGAAGACATCTAAGTTCCCTCTTCAACTTTAATACTCCGTGCATTTTGAACCCGAAAAGGGTGACTATCCCTATAGAATCAGAGACCCCGCAGGAAAGTGATGGCACACTCAAACTGGATGATTTGAACACAGTTAAGAAAAAGGGATTTTGAAAATAAAGATAGGGGGTGCCTAGGTGGCTCATTCAGTTAAGCAGCTGACTCTTGACTTCAGCTCAGGTCAAGATCTCAGGGTCCTGGGATCGAGCCCCGCATCGGGCTCCACGCTCAGCAGAGAGTCTGCTTGAGGAGTCTCTCCCTCTCTCTCTGCCCCTACCCCACTCGCTCTCCCTCTCTAAAGTAAATAAATAAATCTTTTTTAAAAAGATAATAAAGGTACGGACAGAGTGTAGGGAAATCACAAAATCACAAAGGACAGTCCAACACTCAGAGGCTAATAAGAGTGGGACACAGAAATGGCCCGTAGGCCAGCAGGAGTGAGGGGAAGATGCCAATGTCCGACTCAGGAAAGCAAAGAACGTATGTGGAAAGGGCACCTGTTAAGAGCCATTACCCCTTGGGGCGCCTGGGTGGCTCAGTTGGTTAAGCGACTACCTTCGGCTCAGGTCATGATCCTGGAGTCCCTGGATCGAGTCCCGCATCGGGCTCCCTG